AATTAAAAATCACAGTGATATAAATACAAGTGATGACCATCGAAATAATATATTATGAATATCTAACATAAACAAAGATTATTGATATGAAATTACTACAAAAATGATAATATTTGCAAAATTTCGTACATGAAGATATCAAAATCGATAATTTTCAAAGGTTATCAATACAAATTTACTATGAAAATATAATATTCATAAAATTTCACATATAAAAATATCAAAATTGATAATTTTCGAAGGTTATTGATATGAATTTACTATTAAAATAATAATATTTGTAAAATTTCGCCACATAAAAATATCAAAATCGATAAATATCGAAAAACAGCGAAATACTTATGTTAACATTAACTTTTAAAGATTTTCACTAGAAAAAATTTCCTGATGTAATAATCAAGGGTCAAGAGTAGTTATTAATAATAGTAGATAATTATTAAAGAATATGGTAATGAGTGATAAAAGTTTTTTTTAATTTTCTAAAAAATATGTATATTAGAAATAATATATATATATATTTATATATTAATAGAAAAAGAAAAGAAGGAGGAGAGTAGTAAATTTATGATGCAAGGAGGTAACAAATATATAAAATGATATTTAAAAAAAGATTTAATTAAAATCTTAAATAATTTTAATTACCATTTGGAAGAATAGGAAGAAACTGATAAAAGGATAACTATGATAGTAGGAATAACTACAACATCAACATCAGCAGCACGAACAATAACAATCATTGATAGTGATAATGATACTGATAATAATAATAATAATAATAATAATAATAATAATGACAATAATAATGATAATGAAAAAATAACATTAATTTATGTATATAAAAAATGGTGGTGATCAGATGCTGCAAGTAAATAATAATATATATTTTTTTACACCTATTGGAAATATCATTAATGTATTTTTTTTTTTAGTTCATAAAACTTTTTAACAAAGAATCGATTCTGTCATTAAAGGTATATGTAAAAAACAGTAAAGACAAAGAATCAGAAATGTAGCATTTAAGATTAAGAGAGACAAGTACCTGCCAGCTGCGATTTTGAGCTGAACTCTAAATATAGAAATATTATTATATAAAAATTAGGATCAATCAAAAATAGTAATTTATTATTTTGATATAGAAAAAGAAAAAAATGAAAGAGACAAAAAGGATAATATCAATGAAGATAATGATGATGGAAATGATTTAATTATAAATAATAAAAGAAAAAAAAAATCGTCATTATCATTATCAAATAAAAAAAGAAAATGAGAATTTTTAAAAAAAGATTCTAATAAAAAAAAAAATAAAAAAAAAATAAAAAAAAACAAAAAAAAATAAAAAAAAAATAAAAAAAAACAAAAAAAAATAAAAAAAAATAATTATAATAATAATAATTATGATATTACATAATTTTTTTTGATTTTTATTATTTTTTATATATTTTGATTATATTAATAAATAAATTTTGCAATAAAATTAATTATTGGGATGTATAATATATTTAAAAAAAAAAGTTATAATATTTATATACAGTAATAAATAAAGCTATTGAATTTTTTATAATATTATCTAATAAATAATTGAATTTTAGTATTATCAGATACCTAATAGGTACAATATAAATAAAATATCGGATACCTATTAGTAATTGAAAATTGACTAATAGATTTTTAATAGTATTTAAAAAAAATTAGGTACCTAATTGATTTTGAAAAAATGATTAAAAACTAAGTGTCCAATATGTGTAAAAAATATAATTAATAAGTTTGTAATAAGTATACAATATTAGGTATGACTACTATACTTATTGGAGACTTATCAGAAACCTATTTGGAAGAGATATGTACCTGATAAATTTCTGATATTCCAGATTTCAACCAGTGTTATAAATACAAAACATTCAAATAATATATTAAAACACTGTATTTTAGTATGCTATAAGTATGAAATATTCAAATAATACATTAGAATGTTGTGTTATAGTATATTAGTATCATTCTAAAAACTTTATATAAATAATGTTTATATAGTGTTATAGAATATTTTATTTAATTCCTGATATGGTAACTATGCTTACATGTAAAATTATTTTGGAATTCTGAAATTACAATTTTGAAGAAAAAAGTCAAAATAGTTTTTCATAGAAGATGAAATTATTTTATTTAAAATTCAAAATTTTTTAACTACCCAAATAGATTCTTTGGTTAAAGATACACATAACTAGATATTTTTTTTACTTCTATATTAGAATAGATTCTGTGTAAATCTCAAAAAAATGAAATATTACAAAAATCAAAAATCAATTTTGGAAACATGTATAGTAGTGACATGATTTTTGAGCAAGAACTTGATATTATAAGATCAATGTCCTAAGGAAATTTTAAAAAATTGTATTTTGCCTTCCTGTTTTAAAAGTTTGAATGCTTTAAAAACAAAAAACAACATAAGTTTTAATTAATATCTGTTTTATATTATATAAAAGACACAAAATACAATTTAAAAGTGTTTATGTTATATATATACATATGAGCTAATGAAGTTCTATTTCCCTTTGTATCATAGAAACTTACTGTATTTGTATTTACAAACAAATGCATTTATTTATTTAATATATTAATTGTTGTTTTGTAGTGATTAATAATTATGAAAAGGTGGTTGTGTTTGATGAATTAACCATTTTTTTGACTGTTTTTAGACAATTGTTACTCAATTTTGGTTATTTGGACCATTATGCCAAAAAAAAAAAACTTAATTTATGTAATAATAATAATCATAATGGTTTTTTCTAGAAAAGAGATATGATTTACTTTCTTTTAATGTTTTTAACTGTAGAAAGAGTGTAATAGTTTTAGCCATAAAGGTTTTGCATTAAACAAAGTGCTATCAATTAACAAAATATCTCATTTTATTTTTTCCGGGATATCCCTTAACACCAATGAAATCATATTCAACACCTCTATTAAAAAATTTAATAAATTATATATGTAAAATAAATCTTAAGTGTTTTTCATATATAAAATTTTTAAAGTGACATCTAATTTTTTTATGATATTTGAAATAGTTAACATTCAATGGTTTATATTATTTTTTATTAAAAATTTTTTTTTAAAAGGATCCACAAAAATTATATATAAACAAGCCAGCATTTTATTAATTAATAAAATGTAAAACATAAATATTGCCCGTTCATATATTATTTAATAAATAAAATTTATTTTTTCATTTCTCATTATCATTAATAATTATTAAAAACCTGCAGCTCCGCGTGCCATTCTTTCTAGTATCGAAGCTGAAAGCCATTCACTTGGGATAATTCTCAACATCTATTTTAAAGATCAAAATTATTCAAAATATATATGATTAAAATTATAATGAATTAAATTATTATCTTACCTGTTCAAACTTATGAGGAGAAGGAGGGGATAAATCTAAAACTCGTAATAAACAACGGTAAATCAAATGTTCAGTGACAAGTGGTTGTAAAAAATCATCCGATAAATAATTCCTCCATAGAATAAGATTTTGAAGTAACTATTTGTAAAATTTATTTTTTTTTTTTTAAAAAAAAAAAAAAAAATTGTTAGAATTTAAAAATCGGAAATGTAATATAAAATAATATTAAAATTAATATTAATATACCTCATATTTACGCCAAAAATATCTATCACGCGATCTTTCAATTTCTACTTCTGTTATCTCACGTTGCGGAGACGTATGAGTCAATGATAAAATTAATGCTTCATCTTCTGGCACTTCTATAGAACTGACTACATTTTGTAAACGACTAGTAATTGCTGATGAAAAATCCTAATTGTATAAAAATGATTAATAAAAATGATTAATAAAAATTTTTCATCAATTGAGCAAATAATTATTTGATGATTTCTTTACCTTGAAATTTTGAGATTCTTTGTCAACAAATTTCGTTATAGAATCAAAAAATTCGATAGTAGACTTGATTTTATTATTTGAATATGGATCCAAAACCATTATTAAGTATTTTGTTCGTGGAAGCACAACTTTATCTATAACTTTTTTCAAAATTATATTATCAGTTGTTTCCCCGGAATCACATAAAACTTGAAACCATTTTATTTCTTCAAAATTAGTATGACCCTATAAACATATAATTAACATATAATTAACATATAATTTCTATCACGTTATAAAATTACTAAAAATTTACACCGATTTAGAAGAAAAACATATACCTCAAATGATTCCCATAATAATATTTCGTGCCGTACATAGAATTCAAATACACTCGGTAAACTTAAATCACCATAGGCTTTTGTATAATCTTCATTAAAGTCCCTTTTCCATATATCAAATATTGACTTCACCGAATCCAAGGATTTAAATTCATCAACAACATCATCAAATAATCTTGTACGATGATATGATATCTTGTCTGAATAAAAGATATAAAAAAAATATAAAAATATTCTAGTTAATACAATATATATCAATATAATAATAATAATAATAATAATAATAATGATTATAATAAGATAATTAACCAATTTTGGAGAAAATATACCGAATTCATCAACTTCATCCTTTTCTTCTTGAATATTATCATTCACATTATTCATATTATTACTAGTTTTATCTTTTAATATATAATATAAAAATTTGGAATAACTTATTATATCTGTTTTAAATATTTTTATAATAAAATCAATGCAGAACTGTGCCAAAACTATACCTTGATATACATTACAAAATGATTTCAAGTCATCGGAATCTTCTTTCAAGATTTTTTTCATTATGAATTCTGATCTATCGGTAAGTAATTTCTGAAAATCATTCTCTAATTTCTCAAGTTCTGGAAACTATAATTAAAATAAATAATAATAATAAATAATAATAATAAATAAAAAAACCAAATAAAATAATAATAAAAATAACAGATTATTATAATATTAAACCTGTAATTTCAATTGTAACAACCTTATCGTCAAGAAATCCAACTAGATTCTCAATGAACAATCTTAATTCTTGAAAATATGTATACCGATTCTTCGTGACTTGTAAATCTATTTCTAATTTTTCACTTGATGTTTGATTAGTTTCTATATCTTTTTGTGCTTGAATTAATTCCGATTGATGATTCTTGTGTTGGAATTGTAAATCCTTCATTTTTTGTTCCATTATTGAATTAATTTCGGATAATTTAGGGATATGAGAACTTAATGGAACTTCATAACAAAAAAAAATAAATATAGATATATAAATATATAGATAGATATATACGTGTATCAGCAAACAATAATCAACATAATTAACATAATCAAATATAATAAATCAATATAATTGTCAAATTTTAAATTATTTACTTAGATTAGGTCCAATTGGACGTTTTATTGGTGGTTTTGAAGGTTTATTACTAAAAATTCCTCCACCTTTTTTGATTGCGTCCATTTCCCATTGTATAAATTCATCATCTTCATCTTCAAAATCACTGAAATAATTAAAGTTTATAAATTTAACTGTGAAGTTGTAAATAATTAATTATTGGTTGATAAAAAAAGAATAAAATAAAAAGCACATACACGTCCATAATACTTTCTTCAATTCCTACTTTTCGAAGACGTTTATGTTCTTTCTCTGCTTTTTTACCAAGAGGTAATTTTTCTTCAGCATAAGGACCTAATTCTATAAGGAAACAATAATTAAAATATTACAATAAATTTTCCTAAACTTGTTATGTTATACGTAAAAAAAAACATTTTAAATATATTATTCATGACAGAAACCATCTTCTGCATCTTCTTCATCTTCACGAACTAATCTTGACTCTAATTGTTTCTCAGAAACAGTAGAAACCTTTTAAAATAAATAATAATATATAAATAATATTTAGCACTACAAAACTAAATAATATAATTTAAATTAGAATTAACATAACTTCAAGGTTAATACACTAACTTCCATAACGTCTTCAACATCTTCGTAATCTTCTAATGGAATATAATCTGGATAAGATTGTCTTTGTCGCAATTCTTCCCTTCTCCTTTTAGCAGCTTTAATTGTATTTTCGTCAGGTATTCCCGAAATTTCAGAACTTTCCGAACTTTGATCTAATTGATCTATAACTAACTTTTTTGATTTTGTTTGCAAAAACTTGCGACTTGCAGAGCTTCTTATCACTTTAAACGTGTCACTTTCTTCCTTATAATTGAATGTATCCCATGTCAGCAAGCTTCTTCATAAATTAAAGAAATCAACTTGAGAATCGACCTTTACCTCTTCAGTTTCGAAACTCAAAACAGGTTTTCTTTTTTCTTTCTGTTTTTTCTTTGATACTTTTTCTGGTTCTTCATTCTTCACGTTAAGATTTTGTATTCCTGAAAATGCAAAGAATTTATTCAATTAAAACTATTACTGAGATCTGATTAGATCTAGACAATCTAGATATAGGTTGCAGGATCGCAAAACTTACCAAAATCATCGACGTCTTCTTCAAGAGAATAAATTTTGGTACGAATATTTTTGAATTTTTTTTTTAACATTGTGTATAAGTATATCTGTTATTGTGCATCAAACTGTTTTTCCTTTAATTTTTAAATAGTTTCAATACGTGACTGCGCAGCTGATCGTATACTTTTTTCATCGTTTGAACTTACTGTTAACAGCTTTACAAAGCTTTCAGTTACGATGCCTTTACCTGATACCTCTTTACAGAAGGCTCCATTAATTTCAACTCAAGCAGAACCTCACGTTATAACACGAACAAAAGCGAAACAGCCGAACAGAACGACAAAAACGTCACAGAAGTTAGCGCTTTTTCCTGAAGAACAAGTTTCAGTTGTCGATGAGATAAAAGATGATAAATATAATCAAATTGGTCAAATTCCGCAAGGAACTGCTCGAAAAGAGGCAGAAAAGTTTAGTAAACAAGAACGTCTTCGGCTTCCTCGTGTTACTGCTTATTGTACTGCTTCGTAAGTTTTAATTTGGTTGAAATTTATCTAAATAGAACACATATCAAAAATTCAAAGCCTTTAACATTTTTATTCTTTTACATAGTTCATATAAAATGGATAATTTGATAAAATATCTTCAAAGTCTCCGGATTCGAAACAATACTTCGCCTAAACGAATTGATGAATGGTAAAAAATCAATTTGATTTTTACCTAATTTAATTATCAAAGTATTTTGAGTATTTTATCGACTAAAAAAAAAAGAAAAAATTTTATCATCTATTTTATAGCATATATACTCCATTTGCTTTTCATCCTCCCAAACCACCCTCGACAGCAGATCTTTTAGGAATCAATGAAATTTCACCTTCACAGGAACAATCGATTCCCGAAATTTTTTATTTTGAATATGGTGTAGTAGTTATATGGGGTATGAAAGAAGGAGAGGAGAAGAATTTATTACACGATTTGGCCTCTTTTGAAGACGAGAAATTAGGTGTGATTTACTTTAAAATTATTGAATAAAAATAAATTGATCAAATTAATAAATTATTTAAATTATTGAAATTTCCTTTTTTTTTTTATATATATCAAAAGCCGCGTCTGCTGTTGAGACCGAAGAATTTCATTATCATTATGCCGCATCATATCAACCCAGGTAATTTAAAAATATTATATAAAGTTATCTTAATAACTTTGTTCATTAATTTTTTTGAGAATTATATTATTATATTGTACTTCAGGATATATAATGATGTGATTACTCTAAAAAATCCTGGAAATTATATGGTCAAACTTGCAATTTCTCATGCTATCGCGCAATCAGTTAAAATGACTTTATTCGAAGAATTAATTGAGGATACGATTGAAGCTACGAAACATATTCCACAGACGATGGCAGAGACAGGCAAAGTTTTAATGTCAAGGTATCTTTTTAATTTGGTTCCTTAATATTAATTGGATTTTTTTTAAGTAAAATTTCACTTATCTTAAATATAATTTTTTTTTAGGACTGCCATTACAAGAAAAATTGGTCAGGTAAAGATTAACATGAAGTTTTCAGTATTCATTTTTTTTTTTTTTTAATAATTATAAATAGTAATTTCAATTTTATAATACCCATAGTTGTTTATAATGCGAATTAATGTAAATTTAGTGAGCAATGTGTTGGATACTCCTGAAATATTTTGGTCAGAACCTGCATATGAACCATTATATACAGCAATAAGAGGTACCTTTAATTTTTCCACAAAATTTTTGGCAATATAATTCCTTTATTTATTAATTCCTTTATTGATTAATTCCTTTATTGATTAAATTCTTTTATTGATTAATTCCTTTATTGATTAATTCTTTTATTGATTAATTCTTTTATTTATAGGCTATCTTGAAATTTCTCGTCGTGTTGAAGTTCTTAACCAAAGGGTGGCCGTTATAAGTATGATTTATTATAATCTTATAGATATTATTCTTAATTTTTATTATATCATATTTACACAGAGGAACTTTATTTAGGTGATTTGCTAGATATGCTTAAAGAGCATCTTACGAGTTCTCACGGTATTGTTTAATTTCTTTGATTTTTTTATATTTTAATGGCAATATGATTCATTAGGTAAATTATTGAATTTATTATTATTTATTATTGAAAAATTAGGGGAACATCTTGAATGGATTGTGATTGTTCTTATTGGTAAGTTTCTACACATTTCATGCAATTTTAATTTAAATAAAATGGTTATTACTAAAATTATTATTTCTGTTATTCCTTTATTCAGCTTTTGAAATTGTAATTGGTGTGATTACTATCTTAATTGATTTTTTTGCATATTCAACAAAGGAAGGTTTTTAAATATCAAAGTAGCAAAATGTGGGTTAATTCTATAGATCTTTATACAATTGTGACTAAAATAAATTATTTTGAATTTACAATATCAAAAAAATAACAAATATACAAAAATTACATAATAACAAATAGACAATTCCTTAACAAAAATTGTTTAAAATACTTTTATGTAATTTATTTAATTAATTGTTTATTTATTTATTTATTGAATTCATTAAATTATTATTTATTTCAATTAATTCGTGATTCGCCAGTTACGGAAAGGATTTATATAATGGATTCCGGGTGACTTTTTCCAATTATAAAAATTTATTTGTTATTCGTTAAAAAAGGCCATATTTCTTTAAATATATTTAAATCAGAACCATTGCTTTTTATGATATTAATTGAGATTTTATAAGATAGTTCTGATGGTCTTAATATATGATATTTTACAAGTTCAGTACGAAAGAATGATCATAAATTTGACAAGTCCAGGAGTTGATTCATCGAAATGCACCCCTTTAACTAATATTTAAGACATCGGATTATGTGAATGTACTGTACGATAAACATCTCGGCAATAATTTTTTCGAATATTGTATTGCGCATTTATTAGATTTCGTCTCGGACACACACCGCATAAAAAAGATCACCTTTTCTAAAAATGTAAAGGTTGTTATGTACAAACGACAAATATATTTTTTTATTGGAATACGGTCGACCCCCTCTATAAGTGCACCCATTGGGACCAGCAAATGGTGTGACTGAGGGGATTTTACTATGCCTCATATATTAGGGACCAAGTACTGGTGTGATTATAAGAGGGGAGTTCTTATATGGGTGCCTTTAGAGGGGGTCGACTGTACATTAAAGAATTCTGGAGATTGATTTCTCTATATATAGATGCCTAAGGACGACGTATATCTAAAGACTACATAATGTTCTTTTATGACCCCTTCTCTCTCTTTTCCGCGACGTCTGTTCTAAAAGGGTGGCGTTAATTAGATCACCACATATCAGATCTAAAATTGATAAAAAACATTGTCATCACCTTGTTGTATAAGTGACACGTTTAATGTATCAACTGCAATCTCATAAAAAAATTATTAAAATTCGACAAGATGCATTTTTTACTCCTGGTTTTAAATCTCGAGCTAAAGGCATTCCTAATCTCAATGCTACAATAAAACTAATTAATGCGATAACAAAAAACTGGTGTGGATATACTATAAAAAGTAAACGAAAAAAAGGAGAAATCAGCTTCAATAAAAAATAATATCCGAAAGTATCAACAATGCGAGAAAGGTTTCTAGAGAGCTAAAACATAGCGTACTTTTGATATCCACCCAAGGTATAATTATAGAAAGATATATATATTATAAAAATTATGCTTTGGGCGGATACCAAGTGAGGTATCCAATCGGCACTTCATGCCTCGTCCTCGATCGATATTTGAAATACGTTATGCAAAACCAGATCACGAATATTATTTCAATTGATATTTGAATATGAAAAAGATCATTTATACAATGTAGGGGAATTGGCACCCTACCACCACCATTGATATATTTTTTTTGAATTCTTCCACGTGTATGTGAAGTAATCATATCATGGCAACCCTCACGTGAAGCAAACACAAGTACTGTACAATGATCGGCCAAGAATGTAGGTCACACTCTGATCAGAGTGATCTATATATTATCTAACTGTTTTTTCCCAGCACGAGATAATATGGCCCTTATTTATTGGTAGTAGAGTCCTCCTTAATTTTCCTTATCTAGTATTTTATCACATCTACCTAAGATGGTTAGTTTTGGAAAGTTATCTTTTTCCACAAAAATCAGATTTTCGAAGAAAAATACTTAGATTTTTAAATTTTTTATTGAGTTGATTGAATGTGATCACTTACTGTTACTATTTATATCGTCATACCTGTAGCTCTTCGCCTTTTTTTTTTGTTCTATAAAAACCTTTTTCTGGTCGATTCGTGTACACACGTGATAAATAAACTTGTGTGAAACCACAAGACATCAGCTGACCAGTCGGAGCTGCGTAGTATAGTTATATAGAGTTTATAAAATTCGGTTTTACTTCTCTTCGTTTTAAAAACCTCTCTTTGATTGAATATATATAAAAGAAAAAATGACCTACAGACTTTTTGGTAATCCTTTTGAAGATCAAGTTGGTAGGTTTATTATTGAAATTATTTTATTACATTTATTTGATTAAAAAATTTTGGAATTTTATTAAAAACGGATACATTACATTCTTTTTAGAAAAAGCAACTTCGGAGTTATTGCCTAAAGGTCAAGATGACTTAGCATTATATTTAGAAATTAGTGATATGATACGTAGTAAGTCAGTTACGCCCAAGGATGCAGTTAGGGTTCTTAAAAAAAGAGTTACGCATAAAAATCCTAACGTTCAACTTATGGCCTTAAATGTAAGTGTATAAATTCTCTTGAAAATTTGATATAATTCAATTTAACGCGAGAAAGAAGATATAATTAATTAAAATCATTTCTTCATATAGCTAACTGATACATGCGTTAAGAATGGAGGAAATCATTTTTTAATTGAAATTGCATCTCGAGATTTTATGGATACATTAGATTCAATCGTTAGATCTCCTGTAAGATTTTTTTTTTTAAATATTTTCATAATTATTTATATTATATAACAATTCAATTCTCACTTTATATATTTATATAATAATTGTGTGTTCTTTCTATATGACAAAATATATTATTTATTATATATATATATATATATATATATAGAATGCACATAATCCTGAAGTTGTGGAAAAAATACTTGGATCAATTCAGACTTGGGGTTTAGCATTCGAAGGAAAGAAAGAACTTATGTATGTTACAGAGATATATAAATTATTAAAACATGATGGACACGTATTCCCAAAAGTAGATAAAGCGACAGCAGTAATGATTGATACTGCAACGGTAATCTATTATTTAAAGAAATTTAAGATTACATTAACGTTAAATCAAATAATATTAATTTTTACAATTATAATTTGTTATAATTAGCCACCTGAATGGACGGAAAGTGATGTTTGCGTGAGATGTCGAACAGCATTCACTTTATTGTTTAGAAAGGTAAATGATTAAAAATATATACAACTTCTTTGTTATATAAATTTTATTTTATTAATTATTTTACTAATTATTTATTCTTTTTAGCATCATTGTAGAAATTGTGGACAAACATATTGTGGAGATTGTTCTTCTAAAACTACTACATTACCGCACATAGGTATAAATGAACCAGTTCGAGTATGTGATACTTGCTTTATTCAAAAGCAACTTAAATCAAGAAGGTAACTATTAAAAGTATAATATATTAATTTGTATTATATATATATATATATATAAAATCCATTTACAAAATTAACTTTAATTATTATTATTCATTTAATCATTTTTAATAGTGATATTTATATTTCGAAGCCGAAATCAGGCTTTCCCGGTTTAGTTAATGGAACCAATAATTTTAATAATAATGATAATAACAATAACGTATCTAGGAGTTCGTCAGATGCAGAAGAAAACGAAGACGAATTGAAAAAGGCTATTGAACTTTCATTAAAAGAAGCTGAATTTAACAAAAATTATGTACAACCCGCTTTGGAAAGAGTTAAAGCTAACTCTTCACAGAAACCGGTATAAAATTATTAATATAAAATCATTCGAATAAATAAATAAATAATAATTCTAATGAAATAAATAAATTTAGGTTAATCGTATATTCGATGACGAGGTCTCAGAAGCAATTGAAGCCTCTCTTCGTGAAATGAATATTAATCAAAATCGTTATTCCACAACAACGAATCATTCGTATAATAATTATTCCTCGAATTATCCATCAACATCTCCATTCAACGAATTGTCTACCACCGAGGCGGAAAATATTTATCAATTTTCAGATTTACTTGATCGAATTCAACAAAATGGTGGTGATTTAATGAGAGATAAACAAGCTCAAGTTTGTTTGAATTTTTATGATTCTGTTGCTTATTATTCTTTCATCGTTCTTTTTTTTTGTTATATATATATATATTTTTGATAAAATTATTCTTCTGTTGCTTTACTAAATTTATTCAATAGGAATTGCATGAACGAATTGGTGAATTAAAACCAAAATTGACTAGAAATCTTACGGAGACAATACAGAAACATCGTAAGTCATTTAGGTCAATATTGTTATTTTAAATATTGAAAATTTTATTAATTTATTTTGATTCTATTAATAATAATAGAAGATCTTGTGGACATGCACGAGAAATTGACACATGCAGGGAAATTATATGATAAACTCTTAGAGGAAAGAATGTCAAATGCCTATAATCGTCGAACATCCATGGCACCTTCTTATTATATGCCACCACCACCACCACAACAACAACAACAGCAGCAACAACAACAACAATTACCACAAATTGTTTCATCAGGAGTTGGAAATATGTACCCTTCTATAACATCACCTCATATTCAATCATCTAATGTTTATCCTTATCCTATTGCTTCGGCACCTGCTGCACCTTCTCCTACTTTCTATATGCCACCACCACAGAATACTAATACTCCCATTCCTCTTCAAGCAGTTCAATTTGGTATGCAACCTCAACCACAATCAAATCAAACGGATATTAATATTATGGGAGGAACTCAACCGAATCAAATAGCTCAGCAACAACAACAACAACAACAACAGCAACAACAACAGCAGCCACAGCAACAACTACAACAGCAACCACAGCAACAACTACAACAACCTCCACAACAGCAACCACAGCAACAACTACAACAACCTCCACAGCAACAACTACAACAACCTCCACAGCAACAACTACAACAAACTCCGCAGCAACAACTACAACAACCTCCACAACAACAACAGCAACAGCAACAACCACAACCACAACAATCACAACAATCGCCACAATTACAACAATCACAGCAATCACAGCAATTAACAACTCACCAACCACAATCTTCATATGTTCCCTATGGGTATACTACTACTCCAGGTCAAGTGTATCAAGCATCTGCTGTTTCTAATGAAGTACCAACAAATAATAATAATAATACTGGAACTGAGGGAGAACTTAATAATGCGCCTTCTGCCACAACAACAGTTCAAGGGTATGTACCACAAACGAATAATAGTATTTCTGCCTATGCACCACAACATCCAAATTTTATGGGTGAAATTGGGTAAACAAATATTTTATATTACTACTGATATATTCTACTATATTCTACTTACTGTTATATTTTGTGCTTATTAAAATTTTACATTAATTTTTATTTTTATATAATTATAATAATAAGGTATCATCAATACCAGCCACAACAACCAGATCAATCTCAACAATCTAACAATTATTATAATCATCATTATCAACCACAACAATCTTCGCAAATTATTTCTCAAACTCCACCACAAAAATTAGAGGAATCACCGCTATTAATTGAACTCTAATTTAATTGAATTCTTTATAATTTTGATATTATGAAAAACACATTATTCCGTATTTTCATATATCGATATTTCATTTTCTTGTGTTCATATTATCATATTATTATTATTATTTTTATTTTTTTTAATAATTTTTTTGGGGTCATATTTATTGTAAATTTTATTATTATTACGAAGGGACATTGTACTTAAAGATAGAATTTTTAATATATATGGAAATGAATTTGTATTATAATCATATTTCAAGAAAGAAATTTTTTTTATTTTTATCGATTCTCAAGAATTGAATACATAAATTGCAAAAAAAAAATGGATCGTTTAGATGTGATTTTGTCGAAACAAGAATATATATGCATATGCACAGAAACAATACCGGCATTAAGTCATCATTATCATCAACAGATATATTGTCGTTATATAATTTTTTCAATTATTTTTTTTTAAATAATTCTCATCCAAATCAAAATTAATTGATTCATCATTTTCAGTTTCATCATTATTACAATTTTCATATTCTGTAGGTAATCGGAATTTTTTCATATATATAATATAAAGATATTATAAAATTTGATAAATTATCTATAATTAAATACAAAAAAAAAAAATATGTTGAACAAAATTGTATTGGAACGCGAAAGTGAATTAAACACGATATTAACGTTTATTTAAAGATTTTTATTAATTTATTTTAAGGATTTTTATCAAGCTTTGATAAATACATTTCAGATATACATATAAAATAAAATAAGTTTTACAATTTTTCATAAAAAAAATTCTGTTTTTGGAGTATAATAATTTGAAATTTTAGACATTACGCCAATTTTAATTTAATCATTAATATAACACAGTATCGATCTCTAGAACTAAAGTCACAATCAAATGATTTCTTTGGAATGCCAGTATATTTAACAAACTTGTCAGTTATTTAATTTCGACATTCCTTGCCAATCCTTTTTATTTCAATTTAACAATAATTTATCAACTTATTTCCACATCTACTTTCTTTACAATAATTAAGATTCCTTTTTGCTAGAAGGCACCAAATTGTCACCAATGGTTCCTGACTCTTGGACAAGCTAGTGAAGTGACTTAATGGTTCTTTTAAGGAATTTATAGTTCTTTTCCAAAGGTAAGACTGTTGTTTGATTGTTTTAGAAGGCACCACTGATTCAATTATTTTAGAAGGGCATTAGACCTTTTGTTCAATATCTTTCCAGTTTATCATTACAAGGTGGTTGAGAATTAAATCTTAACATTCATCAATAGTCATCCCAGTTTATCATGGTTGAATATTATTCCAATTCATCATGGTTGGGTATTATTCCAATTCATCATGATTAAGTATTATTTAATTCAAGAATAAAAATATTATACAATTATACAGTCAAGTATTTAATCCTCTAATATTAATTATTCTCTTATTAACTATTATTTTTATATTTAATAATTATTTTTATAATCTTTATTTTAATCCAATTGCAAGGTAATTTTTACAAGTTTTATCTTGGAGTTACAAATTATAAAATTAAAAATTTACAAATTGTAAAACTAAAGAGTCAAAGTAGAACTTTGATTCTTTTTATAAGTATTTAAGTGATCTACATTACTGTGCCATTATTATGCATTATTTCTATTGGTTAATATGATTTACTATGAAATTTGGGTAACTATATAACTCGAACACGTGACTTATAATATGGATCATGTTATTTGTTACCTTGATAATTTTATCGCGTTTTTGATATATTTATGGTTATTTTCTTGATATATCGATATATCAAATTTCATGAGACAAAATAGTTATTTTTTTGATGCATCTATAAATAAAACAATTATAAACATATCAAAAAAATGACCATTTTGTCACACGTATTTGATGTATCAAAAAAAAACCATAGGTGTCTCAAAAAAAACGATACTTTAGCAATTTTATCTGGTAACATCAGTATGAGTTAGGCACATGCTAGATTTAGGAATCGATTGATATCTAAAGCGGAAGAACTTGGTAAAATTGTAATAACTTTTGTATTTGAAGCTTATACAAGTAAAACTTGTAATTGTGGATATATTAAGGGAAATTTGGGTGGAAATAGAAATAAAATATTTAAATGTGATAAGTGCAAACTTCAGATTAATAAGGAAATTTTCTCGTGATGGGTCGTGATTATGTAAGCAATTATATAGTTTATGTAAGTTGATAAGTTATAATCATTAAATTATTCAAAATACTTTTAATATTTCCAACAACTGAATGTTTAAAGGTGATCTTACATTCATAAGTAAAAGACTTAACAAAAAACCAATATGTCAAAATACTCTTAAGTTATTTCATGAAATTTATCTTTTTGAACGTTTGAAAGAGTCAAAATTCAAATTCAACGTAAGTTCAAGACAAAAACATCTTAAATTCTAAATTCAAAAGTTTATGATACTTTATTGTGAAGAATTCCACTTATTTGTCAAGTTTCTTCTGTGACGGCAATAGTTGACTTATACAATAAATAGTTACAAAGGTCTACTTTGCTTTGTTACTTGCATAGTTGAGAGGGTCTACTCTACTTTGTTATGTGACTGACAATTTTTTGACTTTCCTATCATAAGAACCGGAATCACGTTTTTTCTGAGATATTATTATTACTTTTTTATTCTATATTTATTTTATGTTGTGTGTTGCTATGTGATTACATTTTAATAGAGCGCAATTCATGTAGCATCATCCAAAAAAAAAATTGAACAAACCAAGAATGAATTGATGAAAATAGAATCTAGAAATGTAAGACCAATCAGCAGAATTAAAGTAATTAAAGTACAGGATAAAAAATTGATAAAGAATCGTGAATCCCAAAATTACAGAGGTATGATGCATATTTATATATGGATAATAAATAATGGTAAAAAAATAATTGATTTTTTTTTTTTCTCATTACAATTTTCTAGGTGCTTTGAGACCAAAAAACTGGAAAACAAATGAGAAATTTACATTAAATGTTCCTGTATCTGTTAAGGATGAGGTAATTTGTATTCCTATTATCTTATATTTTTTATATTTCATACACAAAATCTTTTTATCAAACCTTTTGGTTGTATATTATATTATATAGGTTGCTGATGATGTTCTTCACACATATAATAATCTTGTTGAAGGCAATATCATCCCTTTTATTAGACTTCTAAAGAACACCTTATCAACAAGATCATGGATGTCATTGTTATCAGCAGATGAACCTGTTCTTCAGGCAATTGTTGAAATGCTTCTTCCATTAAAGTATCGTATTCCAGAACTTTGCCTTGTAATGGATGGAAAAAAACAAAAGGGATCAGGTCGTTATGGTTTTCTTGACATTTTTATTCCTGGAAAAGGAAAAAAAAATAATATTAGTATTGAATTAAAATATATATCATTGGCTGGTTTAATGGGAGATCCTACTAGAAATCAATTTGGTATAATTGAATTGGGAAGATTAGATAAAATGCTTGAAAAAGAAAATGAGAAATTTTTATTAAATCAATCATATTTATATTGGAACAAAGAATTTGAACAAATTAGAGGTACAACTATAGGTGAAATCTTGAATAATGGTAAACACCAGTTGAAATCATATATGAATATAATTTCAAAAGGACCATCAATTGATTATTTTTCTTCAGGAATATTTGATGAACGGATCAGGATAACTAGATCAAATTATTCTAATAAACTAAAAGGATTTATTATTATAGTGATTGGATTTCGTCAAATTCTATGGAGACCTGTTGAAGAGATAATAACAAATTATAGATATGATAAAGTTTAATAACTGTACAATATTATGTATTTTATTCATTTGTATTATTTATTTATTTTATTTATTTGTATTATTATTTATTTGTATATTGGTTTAATGAATTTAATGTTCTTAGAGATTATTTCAGTTTATTTCAGTTTAATAAATGTAATAATTGGTAAAATTAAAATTAACATTAATATTTTATTTAATTATACAAATCATAAAAAAAACAATCAGTTCAATGTAATTAATCTTGAAGAATAATAAAAACAATTAACTAATTAATTAATTAATTAATTAATTAATTAAAAAGAATTTATTCAAATCCAAAACCAAATCCAACAAATAAAATACATCGATAATGCAATTTCCAAGATATCAAATATAGCTTTTCCCACCGATTTCCAATATTTCCAAGTCAATAATATTAAATTGGATTTCTGTTGATATTGATACCACACAGGTAATAATTCAGTAGTACGTCGAATTTTAACAAATTCATGAGAAAGTATACATAATAATGTGGTGATATATAAAATTATGTATAATATATAAATACGAATTTGATTGGGAAGTAAACATTGTTGAAATGCAAATGTATTAATATTATTAATATTACTATTTTTGTTGTTGTTATTATCATTATCATTTAATAATGGATTATAAAGAGTTAACAATAGAAAGCCTGGTTTCTTGACACCCTAAAATATAATAATAATAAAAATAATAATAAATAAATATAATAATAATAATAATAATAAAAATAATAATAAATAATATAATAATAATAAATAATAATAATAATAATAAATATAAATTACCATAGCAAAACTGAAACTATTTACTGATATTTCAATAATATCATCGTGTTTAATCTCACAATAATCGTGATCATCACCACTTAATATTAATTGTGGTTTTATATTATCTAATATGAAATTTGTTAATGATTCTTCTATTAAATTTTGATATTGATATCCATGACCTTGATTAATATATCGATTATTTTGTCGAAGTGGTCCACAATCTGTGTTGGGTGGACGATATAATGGTACGTGACTTAATAATATTCGAGGAAAATTGGAAGAATCTAAAAAAAATATTTATTAATTATTATTATCATTTATTTATTTGTTTGTTATTATAATAAAGAAAAAAAAATTAAAGGTTATTCATTATTATTATTATTAATTACCATTAGCCATTTGTTTTATTAATTCATTTCCTTCCTTTTTTAATAATTCATCGGATCCACTTAATTTTAAAGTATCAAGTACAATAATTGAATGATTTCCCAAAGTAACATTATAACTAGTTTTTCCAAATACTTTTTGAAATCTCTTATTTGCTTCCGAAATTATTTCATCACCAAATCCAATATCATGATTTCCGGCTAAATTAAAGATAGGAATTTCGGATTTTTGAGGTTGAAACAATTTTTTATATCGAATTAATTCCAATTCCCATCTATTATTAAAATTATTATTATTATTATTATTATTATTAAATTATAAGTTATATATCAAAAAAGCACTTGCTTATTATCATCCCATTCTCTTCCACCATCCATTAAATCACCCAAAAATATTATTGCATCCGGATTAAATATGTTTTGCATATTCTTCCAATTCTTTTTCATATAAATATCTGGATATATTTCGGATATTTTTTGGAATATTCCTGTACGGCCATATGAATAATCATCGATTATTTGGGGATCTGCAATTACGGCAATTCGATATGGTTTCGCTAATGATTTATCCTATTATTATTATTATTATAATTATTAAATTATTATAATTATTAAATTATTATCATTATTAAAATTATTATCCTTAATAAAATTCTTATCATTATTAATTATTAAATTATTATAAAAATTTACCCATAGATTATTATCAGGCCATGCACATTTTATCATTGCGTAATGAAAAACCAATATTTCTCCCACTAAGAAAGCTAATATCCATATAATTCTAAAAGCACAAGTTGGTGAACGGTTTAGATAAATACGACGAAATCGTTTTAATGGAGTGGTCTTTAACTTTTGAAAGAATTTTATTATTATAAGAAAGGGAAAACGAAAACAACTTTTTATACAATTAATTGATGATCCATTATTCAAAGGCTCATTATATAAAGATTCATTATATAAAGAATTATTATATGAAGGGGAATTATTATTATTATTATTATTATTGTTATTATGATTATGATTATGATGATTACTATTAGGAAAATTATATGAGGAAGAAGAAGGAGGTAATGATAAAGGAAGCTGCATGTTAAAAATAGTGGTATCGGAAATTATATAATTATATATACAAATATGTATACGTTTTTGGAATGTTTCACTGATATTCCATTGTTACATTTTTCATGTTTTTCAATTTGTTGCTAAACCATAAAGAAACATTAAAGCATTTATAAAAAATGGGATGTAATACCAGAAAAAAAAATATTATTAAAAAAATATTTATTAAAAAATATTTATTTAAAAAATATTAAAAAAATGTCGAATAAATTTCCACCATCCAATACAGAAATCTTACGAAGACTACTAGTACATTCGGATGGTCGTGACAAAACTTTAAAAATAGTTCAATATGTAGGAAAAATTATACTCTGGTTGAATTTTTATCGAAAATCAAAGGATTATAAAAAATCTTCGTTTTATCGAATTTTTCCAATCCCACCAGAAATATTTTTAAGATTTATTAATGGTTCAACACCTTCTTATATTCCTCGAATAAAAATTATGGTTGATGAATTTTCCAAAACACGTAAAATAATTCGTTTGGCTCATTTCCTTGAACCATATGCTGAATTACGTAAATATTATATTGGAAAAATCGATAAACCTGATGGTGATGATTTTAATGAAGAATTAATGATATTTTATTTAAGATGGGTAAATTCTCTTGTTGGATTTACAAATGATATTTTTGATGATTTATATTGTTTGGGTAAATTAAATATTTTTGATAAATCAGTATCTAAATGGGCCGAACCAATTGCAATTAGATTTTGGTTTCTTAATATTATACTTGATTTATATGATAATTTTTATAAAATTAGAGAAATTTGGAAGTTAAATAATAATAATAATAATAATAATAATAATAGTTGTAGATCATTTATATTAGCTGTTGGTATTGCTTGCAGTAGTATTCTTGGTAACCAATTTACTACTAATAATAATATTGATAATATTGGTAATAATAATAATAATAACAATAACAATAATAATGAAGATGAAGATGAAATAGAAAAAAGGAAAGAAACTTTATATTGGTTATATATCAGTTGTGCAAAATTGTGGTCTGATTTTATATTCTGTGGTAAGTAAAATTAATAATAATATAATAATAATAATAATGATGATGATAATAATAATAATAATAATAATAATAATTCTATATTTATAGGTTATGATGTTATTGGATCTAATTATTCAGATGGAATACAAACAATAACTGGACTTATGTCAGGAGTTTTAAGTAATTATTATTATTTTAATATATATATTTTTTTCTTTTCTTTGTGCATATATTTATTATTAACATCTCTTATTTTTTATAATTAGGTTTTTACAAACTTTGGATAAAAGAAAAATACAGAATTTAATTTTTAGTGTTGTCATATTTTTAGTGATTTAGTTGATTAATAATTTTTTAAATTATTTATTTGTTTATTATTATTACATATTATATTATTATAATAGTAATAAATTATATTTATTCTTCTTAATCAGAATAGATAACATAGATTTTAAAATGATATTTATATATATTATGTAATAAACATGAAAGAATTTGACAATATATATTTTTAGTAGACTTTTGAAAGAATTATCAACCAATATCCTATCTTTATCCTTCAACAATTTTCACATTCACTTACTAGCGTTGGCTGCGCTGTTAACTCTAAGTAATATATATTCAACACATATTCAAGACGTTCAATGCTAAAACGCGTATATTGTTATAAAAAACGCGTTAAAAAAAAGGAAAAAGAAAAAAGAAATCTACGTTATTATTAATATTATTATTATTATAATAAAAGGAAACAATGACTCTTCCCCGAAGTGGAGTTATATAAAATCATTTATTAAAAGAATTGGTTTTCTATGATGATGTACAAATGATGGATTTTTTGAATAAAAAAAAAGTAAAGGTCGTGATCCAATAAATAAATGGTCAACGACATGATTTTCATAAAGAGAATTATTGTTCATGAAATATTTGTATCAATATTGTTCATAAAAAAAAAATATATATCATTATTATAAAGAATATTATCAATCAACATTCTCATCCATAATACTTTTAATCGGATTCGCGTTTTTGAAGAAAATTTAAAGCTCGCCAGAAGAATAAATCAGAGTTATCTTTTTTAAATGATATTTCCTCCCGAAGATAATCTGGTAATATTTTTAATAATTCGGCATCTCTTTCTTGATTGATACAAGGTTCATAAAGGTATTCATCTCCATTAAATGTAAGTTTAAATACCAAAGATCCATTCCTTCCATTTAGAATGCATGTAAAACTTTTTTCAACCTGTGAAACGATCTTCACGTTTTGGATTAATAGATTTGATAAATCTTGATATAAATTTAATTGTGATAATATTTCCAATTGTTTAGTATCCAATTGGGTAGGAATTTTATCAAGTTCTCGTTTAAGTTTTTTGTTATTTTCGTTTTCTTGTCTAAGTTCAAATTCTAGACGTTTTATGGTTTGTTTTAAATCACCAATAGAGTTTATCGAATTTTCGATTTGAGGCATTTCTTGCTTCAATTGTTGTAATTGGTTAATTAATTTTTTAGATTTCTCCTTTTCTTTCTGTAAATCTTTTTCAAGATTGTGCCTTGTTTCTTTTTCATTCTGAAGATCATGTTCAAGATTATAAATTTGTTTTGTTTTAAATTTATTTTCCTCCTCTCGTTTTTGATTATTTTGCAATTGAGAAAATCTCCTTTCATAATTTTGAAAATTTTCTTCGGAAAATTGTTTAAATTCCTTAAAAGATTGTTCACGTTTTGCACTTTCCGTGTTATAATTAGATTCTATTAATTTTTGTTTAGTTCTAACTTGTTCCAAGATCCTATTTGTTTCTTCAAGCTTTTCAGTAACATTAGTAATATTTAATAAGTTTTCATCACTTTGGCTTTGATTATTTTCTTGGTTCGGATCATTGTTATTTTGACTTAAAACATTGTCTTGGTTTAGAACGTCGTCTTGGCTCGCTTTTCGATTTCTCGATTTCAATTTCGATTGAATTGATGGAAACCTTGGCACGATATAATCTATATCCGTTTCATTTAACTTAGATTCATCAACTTCCTCAAAAGTGTTGGTCGTTGTTTTTAATTTTTTCGAAATGTGAGACGTTTCACCATTTACAGTTTGATTCTTTCGAGTATTCTTTTTTGGAAAGTTCTTTCTAGTGGAATTTTCTTCAATAGTTTCAATGTTATTATCAGCTCTACCCAAAGAAAGCCTTGTACTGAGACGAGTAACTGGCTTATTAGTTCTTGTGGGTGGACTATTTAAAGGACTTTCTGAACGGTTTTGTTCTGAGGACTGGTTTTCTTCAGTCACAACTTGAATTTTTTTACGCGATTTTCTGGCCATTAAATGTTCAAACAAATTCTTTATTCCAAATAAATTCGTCGTTAAAAGACGTAAGGAATAAAAGTTTGTTTATTTTAACCAGATGATCTATAGTCACACTAGTCAACTTTATCTAACTATGCCAATTGGTTGTCTATACTAGTGTAACTTGTGACTATAGATGTACACCCGTACACCCGTACACCCGTTAATCCAATCAATAAAAATTGAATAACCATTATAATAATCGAATAATTTATGAAAATATTCTCTCAATATACAGTGCTACGCTTTTGAAAGATTGGATCTTTTTCTCAAAAGAAAAAAAAATACGCATACAAACAAAAAACACGAACACAAAAAAAAACCAGCGAGTAAATATCAACAGGTAATTTAACAAAATGTATCATTCATCAAAGCATGACAAAAAAAAAACAAAATTTTCAAATTAAATAGGGTTTTCTTTTTTTTTTTACTTGAGATACAATGTTTTTCTTTTAAAAAAATCACTTTCTATTATTTATTCCTCCTCTTCTTCTTCAACTTCATTGCTAATATTGAAATACCTTATTTCATATGATTGCTATATTAATTCAATAAGAAATAAATTCAATTAGAATATATATATATATATATAAAAGAGATATAAATTTAAAAATTATATATATATATATATTTATTTATTTTTATACGAAAAATCAGATTCTTACCGGATCTGTAGCGACAACACGTAACCAATCACGAATACGATGTTTTTTCATGAATTTCTTGGTAAGATATTTCATATATCTTTTTGAAAAAACGTGAGAATTAGTGTTAATAGTGATTTTGTGATCATCGCTACGAGTTATAGTAACAATGTCTCCCAATTGTCCCGTACGACCATTAATTTTCAATCGATCGTGAAGAAATTTTTCCTATCATTTAATAAATGTAATAATAAAAAAATATATATTAAATAGTAAAATAAAAAAAAAAAGAATAAAATTTAGTGAAAAATCAAATTATTTAATATATGTATATGTATTAATTATTTAAAAAATAACGTACGAAAGCCGCAGAATCAAAAATCTTATCACGAGAAGGAGTTGAGGCGTCGATGATATATTTTTTTTTCTGTACTGGTTTTTTTAAGACCTTCGCAGAACCACCTTTAGACTTTACAAATTTAATAATCATTATTATTTTTGACCGTCATTAAATTGTCAATATAATTATAAAGTAAGATTAATATTTTAAATGATATTATTATAATCTTCAACTTACGCCTGCAGCGTTAGTCATTTTCTACAACGAAACTTAGATAGCGACTCGATAAATTTTTTTTTTTGAAAAGGAAGATCAACAATGAATTGGGAAAAGTTCATTTTAATGGATTTCCTGATTAATTTTTTTGATTGGTTAATTGATTTTTTCTGTGCAAAATTTCACGTTATTACTATACGTGATTGTATTTTTTCGATATTTTTTAAACACGTTTTTCTTTGGGTTAACTGGAATCTACAATGGATTCCACTATAATCTCCCAAGAAAATTTTGAAAAAATACACACTCAAGCACTTAAAGAAATAGCTTATTACACAAGAAAACAAAAGGCAGCTCTTCCACATGGAGAAGTCTCTTTTTACCGTACAGTCGATTCCCACTTGACAAGCAAATTAGATGGTTTATCGGAGAGAATTAAAACAAAATTAAATCAAATGATCGCGAATGTTGATATATACGGTAATGAAAAATATGAAGGAGCTACTGAGGCTTCGGATGCAGATATGTGGTATCAGGATATAATTAAAATAAACGACGTACTAATGGAAGGAGTTGTAAGTAATTTAAATATATGATCTGACCCTTAGATCAACAAAGGAATCAGTAAAGGAATTGCCAAAAAATATCAACTGGTTTGTTTTTTTTTAGAATATTGCAATGGATGAAGTCAGTGGCCGTAATAATAAATTTGCAGCTTCCCCTACTCAATTAATTCCTACAGTTGGAAAAGTACAATCGAAGGTTTGTAAAAGGTTCATTTTTATATATGATTATGATTTATATTCTAAATTAATAAAATCTCATTCTTATAATTAATTAGTCGGGTGAAGTTAACGTCGTGTATTCACGACTTATTGGTCGTCCTCAAATAAAGTTTGAGGATAAGGTTGATAATTCCGGAGCACCATTTATCCCAAAACTTCCGGATAAACCCAATTCACAAGTACCATTAGATATAGAAGGAATAAAAGAGGGAAAATGGTATTTATTTATTTGAACTTGGATTTTATAAATGTTCAATTCAATATTAAAATATTCAATTTTTTTTTTTAGTCATCCTCATCCATATCATTATGAAATAACTAATATTACATATCCAAGATATATTTTTCAAACCAAGACACCTATTAAATATCTTCCCGTCCAATCAACTCCACTTACTTGGGTTGATAAATTAGATGGATTGTTAGATATGTGTCAAAAACTTGAAAATTCACAAGAAATCGCTGTAGATCTTGAAGTAAATATAAATTATTTTATGATGTGTTCACACGCGAGGATTTGGATTTGGCCTGTTCATGAGATAGCGAATTTATCCAATCTACTTTTATGAGATAGATTGGTGAACATGAATCGTGTAACTTCAACTAATCTAATTTAAATCCAGTTCGAATGTTGAACACATATATTTATATGGTTAAATCAGATACAATATAAATCTTTTTTTCTTAATCTATATAGCATCATAACTATCGATCATATCAAGGTTTTACCTGCCTTATGCAAATAAGCACGCGAGAAGAAGACTTTATTATAGATGTCTTAGAATTAAGAAATCGTCTTCATTTACTTAATAAGTCCTTCACAAATCCTAATATCTTAAAAGTATTTATCTTGGAATTTTCTCTTGTTATAAAAAATATTAATATAATTTTTTCGAATAAATTCTAATGACTCTTTTATTCATAGGTTTTCCACGGGGCAGATTATGATATCGTTTGGCTACAAAAGGATTTTGGTGTTTACGTTGTCAATTTGTTTGATACCGCTGTTGCATCTTATGTTTTAGGTAAGAATTAATATATAATATTAATCATTTTTTATTAATTATTTGTATTAATTGTTGTTATTTTTTGGGGGGGGAGAATAGAAATGTCCCAACATTCGTTAGCTCATCTATTAAAGAATTATTGTAATGTGGATACGGACAAAAAATATCAGTTGGCAGACTGGCGATTGAGACCTCTAACTGAAGAAATGATAAATTACGCGAGAACCGATACACATTATTTGTTATATATCTATGATAATATGCGTAACGAACTAATAGAGAATTCCAATAACATAACACTCAATCATTTAAAAGTAACTCTTGAACGTTCAGCTCAGGTTTCACTTAAAATTTATGAAACTTTTTGTTATGATAAAAGTGGAGAAGGACCTGGAGGGTATAAGAGGTTGTTGACAAAACGGAAGACATCTTTTAACGAAAAACGGGTAGGGATCACATTAAAAATTTTTTTTTAAAAAAAAAGGAACTGAAATTTTAATAAATATTAAGTTATAATTTAATAATTTAATAATTTAACAATTTAATAATTTAATAGATAGCGGTATTTAAAGCTCTTCACGAATGGAGAGATAGTATTGCAAGATTGGAGGACGAGAGTGTAAAGTATGTAGTAGGATAACCTATGATTTTTTATTGTCTTATTAACATTTTACTTACTAACATTTTACATTATAAAATATACTTAATTTGATTTTCACATTACGAAATTAAGTTACGTACTCCCAACTGATATGCTCTTCCTTCTCGCTGAGAAAATGCCAGAAGATCCCGATGAAATTGGTGAATGTTTGAAAGGTTTTGTTCCTCCTCTTGTTCGAGAGCATGCATTGGATGTAATTATGCAAATTATAAATGCTAAAAGTCAAGCATCAATATCAAACAATATTGTTCGAAATAATGTTATGATTAATAAAGAAAATTTAAGTTCAAATCAAATGGAGATTATTGAACCCATAGGAGGTAAGTAATTATTTAATTTATTTAGTTTTATTTTAATTTATATTAAAAAAAACAAATTTCAAACTAAATAATCATTTAATGATTTGAATTTTTTTATTTAATAAAGGTTTGGTTTTGGATGTGCCAATAAGAAAATACCGAGGAAGTGATTTTAGTGCTGAAAAATCTATATTATTTGGAAACACTCTTAGTAATGTTTGTACATTATTTCTATAATATCTTTTTAAATTAATTGAATTTTTATAAATTATTTATTTATTTATTCTATTCCATTCTTTTAATAGGAAACTAAAATAAGTGACGAAGCGAAAACTAAAGTTGCGGATATCATGTCAAGTTTTACTTCTATAGTACCGGTACTTCCTAGGTTAGTAACTACAGTCAAGCCTCCTTCATTAAAAAAAGAGAGGAAACATAACATCAAGGAGGAATTAGAAGTTATAAAACGGAGAAAAAAAATCAAAACCAAAGGAAATGGTATGTAAATAATTATTAGAAATTTTATTAAATAATTTAAATAATTTAAATTCTATTTATTTGTTTTAAATAACAATTCGTTGGTACATCAGCCGGAACATCAGGTTCTAAAAATACAGAGGAGATCGAGGAAATTATCGAAAAAATAACGCTTGACTTCATTTCAGCAACAACAACCAATCAAGAATCATCACCAATGACTGATCAAGGGACATCAACATCAATCACCATTCAACCAGAAGAAAAAAGTTGGCTCCGATTTTGTATAATTATGTGATACCTTTTTATTTTACGAATTGCGGTTAACAAATAAGTTTAACTATTATTATAGCTTTTAATCCATATGGACAAATTGTCGAGGATGAGAAGGTAGCAAATCAGATTTGACAGATTTAAAAAATTTAAAAAATTTAAAAAATTTAAAAGATTTAAAAGATTTTAAAGATTTAAAAGATTTAAAGGAATTATTAAAAAGATTAATAAAAAGATTTTTTAAAAAGATTATAAATATTTTTTTAATATTTTTTTTTTTGAATAATTATTTTATTGTTTTTGTTGTAGTTAAGAAAACGGGAGCTTCGGTTGCCTGCGGCACCTTCTTCAGGGAATAGGAGTACTACGGGTAAAAGGTAATATAAAGTATTTTATTTTTATTTTTATCATTTTTATTATAATATTTATTATTATAATATTTATTAATATTTTTTTATTAAAATTTCTTGTAATATTTAAATTAATATTTTTAAATTAAAATTTAATAAAAATAATAATTTTTTAAGATGATAATAAATTAACAAATTGGTAAATAAATATTTATTAAGTGTTAATAGTTATTTATTAAATAATTTGGCAAACTTGATAAGTCGATCACACGGTGCTACAATTATTTGACCCGAGATTAGTCTTTATTGAGATTTTATTAGTAGACTTTATCATGTGAAAACCGACTTAATAAACTTATCGAGTTTTCCTTTTGTATTGTGATAATATTTTATTTTGTTATATCTTTTTTGTTATCCTTTTTTTCAAAATTGATTAATGAATGCTTGCTTTGCTTTTTAACCTTTCATCACTTGACGTACCACATGCCCATCCGGTGGTTTCCTGAAGAGAAAATAGAGCATAATGCTTGTTGCTAAGGACAACGAATACCTAAAAATCATCAATAGAAAAATTATGTATTTATATATATATACTATAATAAAAATAAGATGCCAAAGAAACGTTCGTTACCATGTGACCGCATATTGCAAGTGCGTATTACGTAAATCCACGATAGGCATTTTACCTACGGGGATTCCATCTTGAATTATTTGATTTATTAAATGAGGCGAACAAACTTTTTTTTTTTTAAAAAAATAATAAAAAATTAAAAAAAATAATAATAATCTTTAATAATAATAATAATAATAATAATAATAATAATAATAATAGATTAATATTTTAAGCAACAGATTAATTATGTCAGAAGTAAAATAATATAAAAAAGGAAACGTGAAATAGTAATGAAAAATTTTTATACCTAAATTCTGCTCGATTAAGACAGGTTGAGCTCCCGTCCTTTCTGCCATATTTTCAATATCATTCCATATCCATTGATTTTGATCTGGTTCATTTTTTGGAGTAAACCAAGATTTCTGTTGTTGATATTGTTTGATATTTGATTATCCAGAATTATTATTATTATTTTCAAGAAAATATTATTATTATTACCTTTTCTGAATTTTTTAATAATCCTTCTACATTTACAAGTTCATTCTTTACATAATAATATAAAAAAAAAAATCCTTTTAATAATTTATTATCGATATTATAAATACTATATCATTTTCTGAACCTGATCATTTCTTCTGAATGGAGAATCAATTTTATCTCTAGATATCCATCCTCTTTTAACTAATATTGTTGTCCTAACAAAAATATTCGAATTAAAAAAACATTATAACATTCATTCAGTAGCATATTAAAATAAATAAATATAAATAAAAAATTAATTAATTATCAATGCAAGAATTATCAAGAATATGTATAAAATATATGCACCCGTTTTCTCGTTCAAGTGGTGTAATTACATAATAACCAAGGTTATTATTAAAAGTACGAGGACCAATTAGCATTTCTTGGTCATGTCGAAATTTTCCAGAAGTTTTAATGCGTCTATAGAAATATTCGGGCAAGGTTTCTATTCTAAAAATTAGGGGGTTTTTTTTTGGAATTTTTTTTAAATTTTGAATATACTTTCATAGATAATTTGCTTTTTTAAAAAAAACAACAATATAATATATATGTATATATCTAGAATATTTTTTTTTTTTTTTACTTTATATTTTTAGGTAGAATAATTGGTGATTTGGATAAACGGTCTTCATATTCTTCTATTAACCCGACTTTCCAACGTAAACGTTGTACTTGCCAAGTACCAAGACCAAAAGTTATAATTGGAGCAAGTATTAAGATAATTTGAGTAAAGAGGGTTTTATTAGTTTTTGCCTTTTTATATTCATGATTAATAATATTGTTATTATTGATTGTATAATTCCTTTTAAATTGAAAATTATTTTTCGATAAATTTGTAAACTGAAGTTTTAAAATTTGTCCAGTTGATCGTTTATTATTATTATAATAAAAATTAGAATACAATTTTATAGAACTTTGAATGTTTTTAACGTTTTTGCCTGAATTAATTGAATTAATTTGTGAAAAAATACGAGAGAATAGCATTTTTTTGATTATCTATAAAATTTTTTGGCATCTCTTTTTTTTTTTTAATCACGCGATTTAAGATATCTATCTCATGAAAATCGCGTAAATAAGTGACTGGACGAAACGATCAGCGCTTCGATTTTTCTTTATAAATTACAAATCGGAAATAATTCATAATTCTTACCACATATGAAATTTTTATTTTAATAAGTAAATGCCAAAAATGGTACTAGGTAACCTTAAAGACAAGAATGAATTGCATTTTATATAAAAAGGATAGATCTATATTATTAAATTTGAGAGAATGATTTGCAGCTAAAGTTCGAACTGGCGAAAAAACTTAAAACGAATATCATTCGCTCAATTTTGATGAAATAAGCTTGCACTTCTTATAGAAGATGCATTTTATTTTTGTCTTTGAGGTTAATTAGTACCACTTTTGACATTCACTTATAATATAAAAAGTTTTATATGTAGAAACGATCGACAATTTTGTATATAATAACATATTATATACAAAATCGTCGATCGTTGCTACATATAAAAGTTTTATTTTAATAAATAAACGTCAAAACGATACTAAGTATTATTTGATTAATAAAAAGAACATATAATAATTAATAAATTCAATTCAAATATATTTTTTTAATCTTTAATTGTTTATATTTAGAAAAAAATTCATACGAAATAGCATTTAGTACTCTTATCCTAAATCCCCAGAATTTGATTGGTCCATAATTTAACAAGTGATCAGAAGTTTGATTCATGTGACAGATAATGACAGATAAGAGTCTATACCTCCTGGCCTAATTTTTTTACTCCGCGTTCGCGCTGTCCCTACCTTTAAATAGCTTATAAAGATATATTAAAACTTTATAATTATATGCAAAACTCGATTCTAGACAACATTAATTAATGACTCAAAGTAGATTTTCATAATAAAACATTGCGTTATTCACGTTTTAAAAAAAAATTTTTTTTGTCCCCATGATGTCCTTTTGAAAATGCTTGCCTCCCGGAACAGGTTAGGATTTCCCAATAACAGATATTTAGGATAAAGGCAGCGTGCAAAGCTAAATCTATCTCATTTTTACTCCCGTATTATACTATTTATAGTGTATTCATCTTATAATAAAAGTTACCTTTTTCAATGATTAAAATGATTAAAAATGATTACCCAGATTTCCGAGATTGATGATAACAGATAAAGTTTAAACATGGCCAATAAAATTTTTTATTGATACATATTGATGTTTTCTATTTTCCATAATTGATTTATAATAATATAACATTCGTGAAACATTTTATGATTATATTAGTCAGCTTTGTCAAAATATTCATATTGTTTTTTTGTTTTTTTTTTATCAAAACGTCATCTAATAAATTTTACTTCTGCTTCAACAAATAAAATATTCGTTCAAGTGGTCGAACTTTAATTGGTATTGTCCTTTAAAAACAACGAAAAAATGTCTAACTATATGGATTATAACTTTATTTCTCGTCTAAATGAATTGAATATGAATCCGGAAGTTACTCAAGAAGAACTTGATGCCAACGATAACTTGGAAATTTGGTCTAAAGCTAATTTTACCTTTGATGTTCCTTCCGGTATTGGTCTTTTAGATGATGATTTTGACGTTTCTTTAAACAAACTTGAAAGTACAGATTTTACTTTAGTTCAACCAGAAATCTCTTCATTTGCAACACCAACAATGTATCATCCTTTATTATCGTATCAAAATCCTAGCACCACGCTGCAACCGGTTGTTCCTATTTCTCCAGCTGCCACAAATAGATCTAATAATAATTATTCAACAATATATCCCGCTCCATCATCAACAACAACTGTAATTGCACAAAAGGATGAAAATTCAACAACAACTACTAATACTTCAAATACGTCATCCCGTAAAAATTCTAAATCGACCCAATCATCTTCAATTGATACCGAAGATACTGAATCTCAATCAATGGATTCTGAAGTATCCGCTAAGATGGCAGCTGAAGAAGATAAACGAAGGCGTAATACAGCTGCTTCTGCTAGATTTCGGGTTAAGAAAAAACAACGTGAGCAAGCACTTGAAAGAACTGCCAAAGAAATGTCTCAAAAAGCTGAAACACTTGAAAATCGAGTAAAAGAGCTTGAAAAAGAAATTAGATGGTTAAAAAATTTAATTATAGAAAAGGATGAAAGATTGTTAGACGTTGAACCTCCCGAGAAACGGCGTAAGGCTGCTGCTATCAAGTCTGAAACTTTTACTGAAGAGTCTGTAGAGAATGAAGATAATGAGAAAAAATAAAATCATAATTAATATTTCTTTTGTATAATCTATTTAATCTCTATATATACAAAATTTTTTTTGGATTCCTTTTTTTTTTTTTTTTTTTCTCGTGTCTTCTTAATTGCTAATTAATAATAATAATAATCAATCAATCATCAAAGCAAATACAAGCAATCAAATCAAGTAAAAATAATTATGGGAATTAAGAATATATATAGTCATTTTTTTTGCTTTCCTTTTTTTTTTAAAAAAAAAAAAAGAAATCTCATACAGCATAGTATATGGCTTTAAGACATAAAAATTTGTTAATTACTACGCAAATAATTTGTAATATATAATAATAAATAAAAAATGGAATAAACTAATAAAGAAATTGACTTGAATTTGAAATGTTCTAGAGGTATCCTGACCTAATCATAGCCCAACTAATTATATTTTAATAAAATTGTCTTTTGTCTTTTGTCTTTAAATTCTGTGTATTCGACAATCTTTTAAAAACTAACTTTTTTGGAAGGGAATTAATATTATCTTATTAATCTTATTATCTTGTAATAAACTTAATTAAAGTAAAAAGATTCTCCATTGCATATAGTCAGGATTTATTGTAAGTGTGTAGTTTTTATTGATAAAAAAAAATTTTAGATGATATTTCATTCTTCGAAATATTTGATTTGATTTTTTCTTTTCCTTTTTTTTCACGTTCTCGAAATCACACGAATATTATTTTCTTTTTGAAATGCAACAAATTCATCTTCTTTCTTTTTATAACTTTGAACAAGTTGTTCCATTATATTCTTAATCTAAAAAATACCAAATCTTATAAGTATAAATATCCCTTTTTTTCTGTTTTATTAAATAATTTTTGAAATAACACTTTACCCCTTCATAATTCGTTTGTAAAGCAGGTAACACGTCTTTTACGGTACGTTCTACTAAAACACCACCCACAAGCCGAAAACATTTTCTATCTCCATTCAAAGGAGATATTGTATCAATCACGGCTCTTTCCAAATTTGAAATTAATAATAATTTAATTTAATAAACTTGAATTCAATAAAAAAAAAAAAAAATAAATATAAAAATTTTGCTACGAAACTTGTGTTCATCAGAATCTGCTTCCAGTTCACCTATTTTTTGAGCTATACTTTGCAATTCTCCTTTCAAGTTATTGAATTGCAAAGTTATTTCTTTTGCCAAAATAAATTAATAAGGTGTAAACATTTAATAATTTAATGAAATAGTTAATACAATTTAAAAATTTCAAAAAGTTATTAGTACCTTGATCAGTAAGTTTTTTAGCTTTAGACATTGCAAAATTCTTTAGTAACAACCAAAAATTTGAATTTATATACAAATTATGAATTGTAGATCATACAATATACACAAATTAGGCAAATTTACAAAATTGAAATTTTTATTTTTCGGGAAGATTCAAGAATAGTGAATCATCACAAAAGAGAATTAATAAATTAAATAACTTATTATTAAATTATTATGATAAATTAATGTAATAAATTAATATAATAAATTAATATAACAAATTAATATAACAAATTAATATAATTAATATAACTAATATACATGGGAAAAAATAATTAAATTAAATTAAAAGTTATGAATCGTTTCTGAATTATAAAATTTTGGTCATTATTGGGATTAAAAAAAAAAAAAAAAAAAAAAGTTAAAATTATATAAATTTTTATTAACATTTACCTTCAACCGTTATAAATCATTTCTGAGTATTTAATTATAATAATTGTATTGATCTATATTAATTTTTTTTTTTCTTAATTATGAAACTGTTTTATTCATATAAGATTCGAATTCTTTCTCCCATATGTTATGTAAATTTTTAAATTTTTCTGACATTTCATTATCTTTTTTTTCATCTTTATACCAAATTTCCATAATATTGGCTACTTCTATACACGAATCCAGCCTTGATAATTTTACGGAATTTAAATATTCATCAAATCTTTCTTTTTCCAAATATTCTTTCATTCCTTTCCTTTCAACCATACCAAATTCTTCCTTCCATTTTGAACCATAATCACCATCAATTAATTCTTTATGTGAAATGGTATTAAATTCAATTGCACTTTTATCTAATTTATCATAAATATTAATAAATTCTTTACATGTCTCATCAACTCTTTCCCAACTTTCTACTTTCAGTGATGCAGATATTAAAATCATGTATAAATGAACATCATATGGTGACGATTCATAATATGTCATTAATCCAAAAGTTTTGTAAAGATCATCCAATACTTTTAATAATAATTCCGATTTTTCATTTTTCCCTTCAATTATTCTATTGGCAATTGATAACATAAGATATCGAAAGATTTCTCGATTGGGTTTTAAAGCATATTTTGATCTATCTCCCAACATTTCCAAAGCTAAATCATATGAATCAATTGTTGGCATGATTAATCTTTTAATTAATACCCTTGTGGTAATAGCAGTTATTGGTAATAATCTTCTACGCCATTGAGCTACAACTTGAACAAGAAGATTAGCTTGATCACGATTAGTTGTTACGAATATAAGATTATTTAATCGAGTTTGACGGGGCATTATGTTCAATGGTAATTCCCAAGGTAATTTCTTTTGAAGTTCCGAATAATATTTCTCAAATTTTGAAATTCGAGTTATCGTCGAATCTTTTTTTTCGGAATTATTTTTAACATCGGTGGCAGAGAATAACTCGGATACCTCAAAATCATCATTATCAATATCTTCAACTTCTGTGGTTACTTTTTCTACATTTCCTACTCTTTCTTTCTTCTTTTCTTTCTTTTCTTTCTTTTCTACTTTTTCTACTTTTTCCTTCTCTTTTTTATTATTATTCTTTAGAACTTTTTGAGCTTGAGCTATCAAAAAGAATAAAACCCTTCAGAATTTTGAAAATGTAAAATACCAAAATTTAAAATAAATTAATATTAAATATTTGCCAAAGCAAACTCCTACGGTGTGAAATTGTCTTATTTGAGCGGTCAGACGGACTCTTTCATATAAAAACACATTCATTCGTCCTAAAAGAAGTAGAAAAAAAAATATTCAAAAGACAAAAGAAATATGAAAATATGTACAAACATAAAATATTAGAAATATATAAAAAAACCTTTATTCGTTAAATTCTTGCGTCTAATGTGTTGAGTCGAAAAGTTGAATGCTTTCGGTGAGTTTTTTAATAAATGTTTTAAGTGATTTGGAAATGAAAACATTTTTTGGGATAAGATTAATAAGATTAAAATGGAAAAAAAATTTTTTTTTTTGATTTTTAGCAAGTTCGATCAAAAATTGTGTAGAGCAATAGAACAATGCCAAGTAACTAACCATTTTTGGCAACATATATAACACAAACAATTTGTTTATGATTTTTTATTACTTTTTATTTTAAAATGCCTTTATTTAAATAGAATAAATAGAAAAAATTTTATTTATAATTTATAATTTATAATAAAAAAAAAAACTGAAGGAAGATCACTCATGATATAAATTATTTTTAAAACTACATCAAAATCTCAAGAATTAAATTTTTTTTTAAATCATGATGAAATAAATAAATAAATAAATAACTAAATTAAGCAGTTAAACTTTTTCTCAATTCAACCTTCAATTTCACACCATCTTCATAAAATTTTCTAATACCATCGGAAAGTTTTTCGGTAGCCATTTGATCCTGATTAAGATCCCACCTAAAATTTTTTTCGTCATATGTGATTTTAGGTTCGACGTTAGCTTTTGCTATAAAATTATAAAAATTATAAAAATGGGTAAAAAAAAAATATGTTATTATAAGTAATTTAATATGATTATATAAAATTGTATAAAAAATTGTATAATTTATAAATTTTTAAGCATTCAAAAAAAAAATACTTTATGTCAATATACCTTTTTGGGGATTTAGCTTTATTTCAATTTGTTCAGTATCCTTAGATAATTGAGACAATAAAGCTGGACTAATAGTAAGGAAGTCACAACCAGCCAATTCTTTGATTTCTCCGGTGTTACGGAATGAAGCACCCATCACGATCGTTTTGTAACCATAATTTTTGTAATAATTGTATATTCTTGTAACTGAAAGAACACCAGGATCCTCATGTGGAGAATAATCCTTGCCAGTACTATTTTTGTACCAGTCAAGAATACGACCGACAAATGGTGAAATTAATGTTACTCCGGCTTCAGCGCACGCTACAGCCTATATAAATTGAATATATATATATATATATATATAAAATATATGTGAGTTAATGAGTTGTAATTAATTAATTGTAAATGTAGTTAATTGTTGAACACACAAACCTGAGGAAATGAGAAGAGTAAAGTTAAATTACAATGAATTCCTTCTTTTTCAAGTCTCTCTGCTGCACGAATTCCTTCCCAAGTTGATGCGATCTTTATTAAAATACGTTCAGAGCCTATTCCAACTTCTTTGTATAAGTTTATCAATCTTTTTGCTTTTGCGATGGTACCTTCAGTATCGAAGGAAAACCGTGCATCTACTTCAGTAGAAACTCGACCAGGAATGAGTTCGAGAATTTTACAACCAAAATTGATCAACTTTAAAAAATGATAAATGAAAGTTAAATTAGAAAATAACAAAATAACAAAATAACAGTAAAGAATAGGAAAAAAATGTAAAAATTAAATAAATAAATAAATACCAATTTATCTAATGCCCATTCAACTTTTTCGTCAATAGAACTGAATTAGATTGATAAAAATTATATTATTAATATAGGATTAAATGATTTCATAAAATTTTTCTCTAAAATCATAACTGAAAAACTGAAAAAAGTAATTTCAATAATTTAATTCAAATCTAACCCATCTTTCTTCTTTGCATATTCGATAGCATCATCAATCAATTTGGCGTATTGAGGTTTTTTAGTAGCAGCCAAAATCAGGGAAGGGTTTGTGGTAGCATCTTGAGGTTTATATTGAGCGATGGCTATAATGGATATATTGATAGATATATATATGATAGATAGATAGATAGATAGATATATATATGATAGATACAAATATATATATATATATATAATATATATATAATATATATAAAAGATATATATAAAGATATAAAATATATAAATAATGGGATATATATATAATTTATATATAAAAAAATACAAGTGAATTAGAAAGTACAAAATTCAGCATTCGAAATACCTACAGTCGAAATCACCAGTATCAGCGACAATGGTGGTGGATTTTTTGATTAGATCAAGTACACTTGCCATTTTTTGATGATTGGATCGAATTAATTTGTTAAATTCGTTAAATTTTTATAATGAAAAATTTTGCAAACTTTTATACAAAAATGAGAGAGCGAAAGAGCGAGTAAAATTTTAGAACAACGAAATAAACTAAAATTATTGGATCATAATTTATTGATAAAAGTGTAAATAATCTTCTAAAATATCATTATGACACATCTTATTTAATTGAACTGCTTAGCCTGAAACGGAAGGAAGCCACATTTAAAAAAAAAATCTTATTTAAATAAAATAAAAAATGTGTCACTAAAACATTACGCGAAATTTAAAAACTGAAACAATAGGAAAATTTCGAAACGGTTTTTGCATTTTTTTAATCAAAAATGATAATAATTATGATAGTTATCCTTTAACTACTTGAGTTAGTTTGATAAATCAATCTTAGGTATTTTGATTAAGATATCAATTTTAGAATTTGGTTCTATTCCTAACAAAGTATTAATGTTATTCTATAAAAGTCATTAGATTATATATCAAAAGATTAAGATTATTAATCTAAAAAATCACACTTTATATATTTTAAGTAATGAATTTCGTAACACAATAAGATTTGATTTACTACACATTTTTAATATTTTATAAAAAGAAAATAATAAAATCTATGTATGCAAAACTAACTTATATACAATGTCCTTAAAAAGATCATTGTTTAATGTAAAAATGAATATCCGTACAATATAAATAAAAATAATAAAAATGTTAAATCACCTCCAAAATAAATAATTAAATAAATAAATATATAATGTATACATATAATATTTTATTTCAATATTCCACTAAATTTAAAGTTCTTCCAACTCTTTTTATTTCTTCACTCCTCTCTTCCTTACGATACTCAAGGTAATCCCCAGCATCAAAATATCCATACCCGGAGACCACACTAATGTTCTCACCTTCTGAACTACGTTTTAGACCAGGTGCTCGCTTTTCTGATTGTAGAAGTTGATAAACATTATTGAGATAATTTTCTAAAGTTTGGAGGAAACGACTTGTTTGTCTATGTTTTGATGATGCCACAAACTAATATAAAATAATTATGAATATAAAATAATTAATAAATTTATAATTAATAAAATCGTAACAAATTATTAAAATTATATAACCAAAATTTTACTTACAGCAATGGCCTCATCCTTGATAATGTAACCAATTCCAAATCCATCCGAAACTACTGGTCCAAATCCAAATAATCTTAAGGCAGGATTTCCACAATTACTTGTACTAATAACTGTATGATTCAATGTTTGCCAACCAACGTCTCCGAATATAGCTGGCATTTGGCCTTCATTTTCGGATTTTGATCGAATCTCTCTTTGCCAAACACATTGTAATGCATATAAGTGTCTATCTTGTCCCAATCCTTTTGAACACATTTTTGTCAAATTTACATGTGTGTGAATGGCTTTACGGAGTGCTTTAAGTTTATTAGAAGTCGATGCATCAGACCACCAAAGCTTTACAAATTCTATTGCATCCAAAGTAACTGGTCGAATTGCTTCAGTACGACCATGAATGAAAGTCTTGGTCATTGCTGGTTCGTATGTACATTCTATTGTTCCGTAGAGACCATAATAGGCAGCTTGAAATGCCATCTATAATTAAATTAAAATTAATTCATTATTATTAAATATATTACTAAACATAAAATATGTCAACCCATCGATCACGTGGTTACCTGTACGAACCCATCTGGACTCATTTGAAAAGATGTAATTAAACTTTTTCCAAAATTTTCATATTCCAAAACTTTCGTCTCATTTTGTAAGATAAGATCGCTCAATCTTGTTTCAGCAAATCTTATTCCAATGCGAACTTCCGGAGTTAAATTCCATTCAAGTTTTTTGGGAGCAGTGTCAATAAAATTTTTATCATTATGAGAATTATTTAACAAAGATTTTGTATGGCTGTTAATGGTTTGAGCAAAGCGTATAATTGTGTCGGTATAAATATCCGAAACGAAACGTAAAACAGTGTGACCATCAACACCTTTAATATAAATAATTTAAATGAATTTATAAAACGAATTATTTAAATTATTATTATTATTATTATTATTATTATTATTATTATTATTATTATTATTATTATTATAGTATTTCAATGGATTAAAAAATATTATTAAATTATATTATTAAAAAGAAATAATATTAAAATTATTCTCACCCGTATGTTCGAAATTAACTCCAGCAGAACCATTTTCACAAACAATAATTTGTAATTTATCATACCACCGATTAGCACAGGTACCAACTTGTACACCTTCTTTTATATCATAAGTACCACAAAGCATATTTGTCGCTACCTCATCTAAAGAAGAAGGTGATCCTTCATCTAAACAGACAACAAATATTGCAGAATCAAGTACATTTAAACAATCCTTATTATTTTCTGACGAATCTTCTAATATACGCCTTAAATTAGCCCAAATTTTACGATTTTCGGTAGAAAGAATTCCAACAGCATTTTTTGCTATCTCAACAACTGGTAAACTAAGTGCATCTTGTTTTATAGTTTTAAGATTAGCCACTAATTCTTTTTTGGAAATTCCAACTTCATTATCTTTGGTTAATACATCAAACCAATAAAATTGACCACGGCACAAAACAATAATATGTTTAGATTCATTATTTGAATTCATTCTACATCCATTTTCTGTTGGTAAACGAGCCGTTCCGAACATACGTTGAAATTGTGACATACATAAAGGAGACCCTCTAAAAAAATCAGGTTCCAAAGTTTCAGTTCTCAATGCATGAACAAACTTTAAAGAGGAAGTTATTAATGAAGCAGCTCGTTCTACTTGATTATTTCTAGCAGGTGTAGGATCATCCTCCAGAAGGAAAAATGGATTCAGATTAAGAACTACAGGATCGCTGTAATTGAGATATGAATCATACCAAAATTCTTCAATGTAACTTGATTTATCATATGCATAACTTTTAAGTTTTTCTTGAAGTTCTGGACCTTCATTTTCAAGAAATTGTTTTGCAACCTCAATAGTTTGCTCGTGATCCTTTTCTCTCTATATACATATATATATATATACAGAGTAAAATAATAAAATAAGAAAGATTTCAAATATGTCATACATTAATGCTTTAAACAAATACCTGAAGAGGTTTAACAACAGCTAAATATCTGTTTATTGTATCTTCTAACGGAGGTATTGGTAACTTTGGTAGGTTATCTTGAAATTTATAAGTCTTTTTAGTATAACCAGAAATGTTAGACTTTTCAATCTCAACCATTTTCGTTCAAGAAAGAAATATCAATAAAGAAATACCAAAAAAAAAAAAATCAAAAATCAAAAATGCAGAATGAGATCACAATTCATCAATAATCTTACCTTAAGTGTAACTATAAAACTTCTAAATTGTGGAACAAATAATAAAATATCATTTGACTGGTTTTTTGTAGTAAGGAGAAAATTGATTAGATTAGTAGTACGGACTCCTCACTCGGCGCTACCCACTTTTAGAGATAGAGATGCATTTTATTTTATTTTTTGATTTATTTGTTATGCACTATCACGGAAACAATGTAAAAAAAAGATGAACATCTAAAAAGGATGTTCAGGTGACATTTAATATCTGAAAAAGGGTAAATAAGAAAATTCAAAACTTATTCATTTATTCTATATATGTTTTCAATTATGACAAATTCAATTCTGATTTTGAAATTTTTGATTGCATCTAACTCAATTCAGTAGTTTTGATGGCATGTATAATTTATTCAAAAAAAAATTATTATGTTCTTAAATATTTTCAGTAAAATGCGTTCTTTTTTTTTTTGAGCTGTATTATATAATGGTCTAATATATATTTTGAAATACAATGGTAACTTTTCAAGTTAAATATTATTTATTTAACCCTTATATATATACATCAAAATAAGTTTTTGGATTTTTTAATGATGAAAGTGAAATAAAAAGCAAATAATTAACTTATTTTAATGTGTTTTTTTAATTAACAAATTTAAAAAGTTTTCAAAATAATTTTGTCTTCTATAAAAAAACTATTTTGATCATAATCAGAAATTATAAATCTTAATTATCTGCAAAAAGTTAGTAACTTAAACATTTAGAAACTTGAAACTTTCTGTCATTTTTGATAATAATTTTGTAACAATATCAGAAAATGAACAATCCCACATTTTCAGTTGTCTGTTATCTGGTAATAATTCACTTTTACCTTTTGGACCTGAAAGGAAAAAAACAAAAATCCACTGAAAATTTATGTTGTGGTACTAATAAATTTTTCAGAAATCTGTGCAAAGAATAGTCATTAGTTGGCAAGCTCAAAAGTTGATTTATTGAGATGCACTGAAATAACCAGTATTTATACCTTAATTGTATATCTGGAACTTTTAAAATTATTATTTCTAATTGCAGATGCAATATCTAAAATAATATAATATTTGATGAAATATACTGTAGCAATCGCATTAATGAACTTGAAGAAAATAAATTAAAAATTGTTATAATAGAAGTTACAGTTAATGAAATATATAGATAGACAATATAAGAAACTGATATTATTACTATATAAAAAGTTCTATTAAGCTGGTTACAGGTTATATACAACACTCCACAAAAATAAAGATCATGCAAAACATGTCCATTCCATAGATCATTAGATATAATAATTTGTATGCAATAAGTATAAAGGTTTGCATGAGCTACTCGATAATACTGTAAATGAAAAGGATGCCCTTTTTAACCATAAATTCTAGAGACATTATGAGAATATCTCTTCTGAATGTTCTGGACTATTCACCTATCAAATATATGAGGTGTTTCTTGACTTCTGATAATATTCCCACTTACCAAACATATAAGGTGTTCTCAAATTTCATTAGACATCCATCCTTTCGTTCACTTTATGTATTATAAAAATAATTAAAATAATTTTTTTTTTACACAGTTATCTACTAATATATCACATGTTAATCATATGTGACATATATGCAGATTGACATAATGACATAATCAAGATGGGTGGAAAAAAATCTTTTCACCAATATTAAACATAACCTTGAGTCTACACTTAAAACTCTAATTGAATTGAAGTCACCTTTAAAAGAAGATTTATCCAAACAAAAATGAACTTTATAATTGTCTATCTGTTCTCTTTTCAAAAAAAAAAATCACAAATACAACAAAAATATAAATCTATAAACATATAGATCGATAAATCAAATGAATTTAAAATTATTAATCAAAAAAATCATGCAGTTTTTAGGAGAACACGTTTTTTCTAATATAATGCAATACGCAATTAGAAGTCCATCAGATCTTACACTCAAGAAAGAATTACAAAAGGCAGAAGAATTGAAGTTGCAGAAAGTGAAAAACCAGGAAGTCAAAAATGAAAACAAAAAAGATGATCATAATGATGAAAAAAATGATCAAAAAGAAAAGATAAAAGTATACAAGAAAGTGAAAAAAAAGATCAAAATAATTTGATTTTTCATACATTGTCTTTACAAATCTTACAGTGGTTTTTATTTCTGCCTTCAGAACAAAGTGCTGTAGATAAAGAAGACAACATCACAAGTGCCCTAGAAAAAACTGTTGAATATAAATGCAAATTGTCATGAGAAACAGAAGAATACTTGTTGGTGAGCAATGAAGAAAGACAATATGTCAGTGAGCAAGATGGCGAGGGTACTTCAAAGTATATCCTAGATTAAATAAAGATAAGGGCAAGACTAGAGTCTTAATGATTTTTCTCAAATCAGCATATCTTAAATATAAAGGTAAGTCTCTGGAATACCTATCAAGACTAGACAAAAAGTAGAACAAAATTAAAGAATTACATAAACAGTTCTTTGAAAATGGAAAGAATAAACTTTACCGAGACTCAAGTGTGAAAACTACAATAAGAAAAAATAATTGTATGGTCACAAAAAAAATTATTAATAATATCGGTGACCAAATTAATACTCTCCAAAATGAGAAAACTCAACATGATGCTAAACTCATGAAAGAATATAAAGAAGTTACATTCAAGATTGTCAAAAAAAAAATTTGACAAGTTGCTTAGTTCATGAGAGGTTAGATTACATACATGAAAAAGTTCTAAGAGTTGAAAAGAATTTAACATTAAAATAAAAACTGAAAATGAACTATGTTAGAAAGTCAATTACTTCAAACTTATTATAGCAGAATACAGTAAAACGTCAGTTAATACAGATTCTATTAATAGTCTAGTGAAGTATCAACTCTACAACTTTCTTCTGAGAATGGAAGAGTGACTGAACAAAACTTTGTTAAGATGGCATATAACAAAAATTAAAAATTAATTGTGATAGATAAAAAAATAAATCCTGTAAAATGTAATTACTAGAATTTTATAAGAAATTCCCAAAACTGAACAACAATCAATCTGTGCAATTGTGATTTACATGATAAATTCATGAAAAGCTTCCATTATTCTACTATTTGTTTTGAGTGAAAAATGAATAACATAGAAATCAGGGGTCTCATATAAATTCGTGTGAATTATACTTATGTCATAATATTACAGAGGTTACTTTTAATAATAAAATTAATAATCTTAGTCTTAAGGATACACTATAAACACAAACCAATGCAGAAGTTAAGAATAGATATGAATTATCAAAAAGAGACAAGTTTGTAAAGATGTTAGTTAATTCTGTAATAAGAACTGGTGAGACAGGTAATAGATATATTTTATATAAGACTAACATAGTGTTGGTAAAAAAATATAGTCTAGAAAATAAGTCGATATACTTTCTTACCAAGTGGAGTGAGTTTAAAAAAATAACACTTTACAATATTAAATTCAAAGTTAGGGTTATAAACTTATTCAAATGGTTAGATAATATCATTAAATAAAAACTATATGATTTTGATTCAGATAATTCAGATCGTAATATCAAAGTTATACATGTTTTCAAAATTAATTTTAGATTTTTAAGGTATTTTGACTTTTTGAGATTTCTATTCTATATATGAAAATAAAAAAAGTATCCAGTTATGTGTATATTTAATCAAAGAATAAATTTGGATAATTAAAAATTTTTAAATTTTAAGTAAAATAATTTCATCTTTTATAAAATCTATTTTGACTTTTTTTTCTGAAATTACAATTTTAGGATTCCAAAATAATTTTATGTACAAGTATAGTCAAAATATTTGTAAATAACTTAAGTTCTACATCAGTAATTATATTAATTCGAAAACCTTCGAAATTATATCGCAACGTTAGATTTCGAAGGTTATCGAT